AAGGTCACGCTAAGTTCATCTGTGGCGTCTACTGCGTTTGATTGTCCGCACATTCTCAAGCACAATGCCCAATCATCAGGATGAGCTCTCATGAGGAGGATGTTCCACCCTTTGTAAACACCTCCCAGCTCTGGAAAAGAAAGCATTGGCATTGTCTGTGGCAAAAAAAAATCGAGGCAATTCTGGATGTTATGCATTTTGGTTGCCAAGTTTAAGAAAGGGAACAGTTTTGTTTCTCGTCTTTGCACCGAGGGTCTCAGATCTAATCGTGTTGTTTTAGAGACGACCTCTCTGCCTTGCTCTGCGCTCAGTCAATGCGTGCCCGGCGACGAGGAGGAATCAGAGCATCTGCGCGTCATTCAATGCCCTTTTTAATGTTTTGGCTCATCAGGGATTGCACGTCCTGAACTCACTTTCACCCATAATCCCACTTGACAGCAAGACAGGTCTTTTGGCCCAAAGAGCCAGTGGCTAACTTGCTTGCAATTGCCATCATTCTGAGGGGAGGGAAAGACTTAAGCCATACCCACTGGGTGCTGTTAGTATTTTCAAAAAGGAGTTAAGGGACAAGCACTTGACACACAATCATCGTCTTAGCGCGTAAGATACACATATCTGTCTAATATGTTTATCGACGACTGACAACAAAGTGGCGTCCCAAAGGGAGGAGACACGCCCCAGAGGACGGCCGCCGAGAAGATGGAGTGACAAGGTCGGTCCGTGTTTCAGAAGCTAAACGTATCGGGGAATCGCGCAGCTGTGAGAGGTTGCGATGCCTTGGCGTAGCTTTCATCCAGCACACAGAGGCTAGCAATGCCACTATATAATTACACACAAAGGAACAGATCCCCTATATAGCGCCTAACAGGTTGTTGGGGCAAGTGCTGTTATCGAGTACTTATGAAGGCCGGCATGGCATGCGAAGCGGGTGGGTTGCCAGCACCATGCCCGGCCACCTTTGGCTTCCGAGCACCTGATGTACACACACAGTGCACAAGGTACTTATTTAAGTCTGAGTCAGCCTAGGGGAGACCCACGACAGGTTTAGTTATTAGTCACTGATGTTGGCCATGAGCGGGAATCAAACTCGGTTCACCGGTTTCTTATAGCGCAGTGCACTAACCACTGAACTTTCGTCTCCTGCATATACGTTGTAATCACAAACAATTAAATTATACACAGTACATTCGTAAAAAAATATTTTTAAATCCACAACATTTTGTTTAAACATACAGTAGTTGAATAAAATTTGATTATAGCAGGTACGTTTTAATTTCCATGCATTTTGGCTCTTTAAAGTTACATAAACGTAAACGTCCTCTTTCCAACTTACTTTGCTGTAAATTTTCTCGTAAAACAGTTTAATATGTTTTCAGGAAAACCATAATGAATATCCCAGAATATTTTCCAAGGCGGTTCTGCTTGAGTTGCTGGGCCACCTTGGAGTAATTTTAAGAGGGGAGGAAACCAGGGTACAGTATCTGCAGAACACACACATAGGGCGTCGCGGTGGCTAGATGTTAATTACATCGCCTGGTATACAGGAGGTCGTTGGTTCCATCCCGACCCTGACGCCTGTATATTTGGAGTTTGCATGTTCTCCCTGCGGTTCGGTTCATTTTTATCTGGGTCCTCTGGGTTTTCCCTCCACAGTTAAGACTCAACGTGCGTTTAGATTCCTTGGCCGCGATACATTTCCATGTCATAAGCCAATTCGTTGAGCTGTCATTCATGGCTTGGTCGCTTCTGACAAAGAGCTATATAGCTCCGTGGGCTTGACCTGATAAAATAAAAGTTTCGTCTTCAGTGTGAGAGACGGGAGGTAAAGGTGCAGCCTTGAAATTGCTTGATCCTGCCACGGCTGGTGGAAGGGCCTCTACTGGAAGGAATTTGAAAAACTCTTCCACACTGGTCAGACATCGTGGAAGAGGTGGGATTATCAAAATTCTTCTTTCAATAGCCTTTTGCCCCGTTCTAGGACGGGTGTTTTGCAGTAAACTGAGAATTGCAAGCGAAAAGCAGACCGTGACGTGGTATTCATTGCATTAATGAGTGTGCAGTTTGTAAGGGCGCGGTGACACAGACCTATTTTATTTTAAGGTCATAATCCCTTGTACATCATGACGTCCTTTTTACTTTAATGTCTCAACAGCGTTACGGAGATCGCGTGACGTGAGGGTTCTGCCTTTGTAGTGAGGGTTGTGAGTTGACGCTGAGGAGGGGGGAGGAGGCGCCTCGCCCTCCCCCCCCATGTGGAGTGACGTCAGCCGCTAATGATTATGAATAGAAGGGGGGGGGGTGTCCATTTGGAGGACGTCACCTTATCATGATTATTAATGAGGGGGGCTGTTCGATGTGAAGTGACGTCACCTGCTCATGATTATTAATGAGGGGGAAGTAGTGCTCCATGTTGAGTGACGTCAGCTGCTCATGATAATTATTAATGAGGGGGGGGGGGGGGTCCATGTGGAGGACGTAACCTGTTCATTATTATTAATGAGGGGGGCTGGTCGATGTGGAGTGACGTCACGAGCGTTAAGGACAGACATTCCTGGGTGATTATAGTAGGTATACGGCTAATGCAGAGCAACAACTGAAATCTCACATTCAGGTGGTCAAGCCAGACAACCGCGTCAGGAGCAGTGGAGTGTATTGTCGTTATGTCGCCTTGGTATTTGTGGATTAGGTATTGCTTCGTTAAACGTTGCATGGTCTGTTCTGGATGACCACAGGTGCATACTGGAGAGTTTAAATTTTTCATTTGTGCATCAAGTATCCGCATCTGCTACGGTTTGTGCGGATGCAGTTTAGGGTGGACCATTACCATCATTTATGCCACCACACGCGACCTGCTGATCTAGCAACTGCGTTATAAACCCATTCCTTCTGGCAATATGTCCATGAGCTAAATGACAATGTTGAGGTCTGCTAGTTATGAGAGGGCTTCAGAAGCAAGTTCGTGAAGTTTTGCTATTCCTTCACTGAAGGAGCGCAAATTCCAGTGGTTTATTTTTCGGTGTCCCCATTCATGCCGATTGGTGGACAGAGGTGGTGGGGATTTAAGAAACTTGCACCATCGTAACAACTGCCATGCTGGAAGATCGAATTTCACCTGTGGTTTCTGGATTACAAGTCCAGGGTGCTAACAAACGACACGACAGCAACATCCCCGATGAGAGAAGAACAGTCCAAAAGGGTCCAGTCCAAATGCAACACAAACAGCACCTTGTGCGTTGCAAAAACACAATTATATCCATTTGTTTAAAGTGGATTGACCAGAGGGATTAATAATTACTTTTAGGATTGACGGGTATTTTTTTTATATATACTGCATACTGAATATTTTTGGCCACAAAAATTGTAATAAGAAATGGTCGTGTTGATATTGGACTGTGAAAATTGAGTGCCAAGTTAATTTTCGTATTTGATGGTGACAGAATACAAAAAGAACGCGTATGAAGTTTGTGCCTTGCTTTGTGGACCTGTGAATTAAACCTGCCACTTTTCAGGAAGTGGCATGAGCGAGGGTGGCAATTGTTTGGCGACTCCCTTTTTAGGTCCCGAGTGCTAACAGCTTTTGACTCGATGACTTTTTAAACCCGGGCCGCAGTAATTCGGTCCAGACGGGGTCCCTCTCGTGGTCCTGATTGGCGAAGGAAGGTGCAGATTTCCTGGCTTTAAGGCTCACATCTCGCCTGATTAAAGCTGGGGGGTGGCAGGATGCCTGTAATTGGCCAGACCTTTCAACCCGCCTCCCTTTAGAGGCAATAGCTCGTCTATTTGTTTCGTCCCATGCCTATTTGTTTCTCATCAACCTCTGGATCCCCCCCCAGACCCCCCCCCCCGCCCCCAAAAAGGGACCCCCCGTGCACTTTTCTGAAAGAAAAAAAAGTTAAACAAAAATAAACAAGCCCCTAAAAAAAAACCCCACCTACCTACTCTCCCAGATGCTCTGCCCTTGCAAAGAAAAAAGAAATACCCTCCGATGCCTTTGCGTTTCCAGTGTAAAAGGGCGTTCTGCCGAAGTAAACACAGAGCCTGGCTCTCTTCAGCGTGGGTCTGCGTAGGAAGGCAGCAGTGGTGGTTCAAGCCACCAGAGGGTTCCTGTAGGCTCCATCAAGGAAACTAGGTAAGACCAGTGGAATGTGCCTGGACTGCAAATGTATAAAGAGCAGCAGCAAGGCCTGTACTGTATTTGCCATGTGGCCCACGGAGACTGGGGCTTGTGCATTTTAAATAATTAGGGACTGATTTGCCTTAAGGAAAAAAAAGTGATATTAATTAATGTAGCATGAATAAAACTCATAAACGCATTTTTTTTCACGTTGATGTTTTCAGTACCGGTGTCTGCCATTATGTCATGAATTTGTATGAAATGAGGACAATGTAATTTATCTGCAGTGGGACACAATGTGAAATTATACCACTGCTGTAAATAAATTTATAAATGTGCATATGAAATATTAATAAAAGATTTGTAACTAATGCTATTTGTTTAACTTCATATACTTTGGCACAGCTTCTTAAAGTTATATGTGGTGGCATTATAGGATTAAGTGTTTGCACTGTTGGATATTTGATTCCGAATCGGAGTCATTTTTTTGCATAAAGCCTGGGTTTTGACTCAGTAGCTTAGTTTACGTTGTCAGGAGCCAAGCAAAAACATTGTGCCCAATCCATGGGAATTCTCCCGGGCTTTACGAACAGTTCACGTTTAGTAGCCGACCTCTATAGAAGTCCAAAAGAGGCATTACAAATCTCTGCGCCAACACAACTGTGCAGTCTGTACATTCACTAAGTACGGGTACCAGCTTTCCATTTCAAAATATGGAATTTTGTATTCATTCATATTTTAATATGTACTTTGGGTGCGCGCGCGCGTGCGCGCGTGTGTGTGTGTAGCGCTCATGAGGGAGTCGGTCCATTTTTCCATTTAACGCAGCGGGCCACCGCACAGAGAGAGCACAGTGTGGTGACGTGGGTGCGATGTGTCTCTCCAGACACGTGTGCTGCCGTTGCCCCCAGTCCCGGCTCAGCCTGGCCTGCTCGGGTGGTCTGACAGCGAAAGGCGTCTTCCATCTTCAATTATGCGCAAGAGGCTCGCGTGGCGTGTGACTTTTGTTTTTCAATTCTCGTGGACGTAACGCAAATGAAACGCACGATTGTTACGTGGTACATTTACGCGATCTAACCCCCCCCCGCCCCAAAACCCCCCTCTATTATGTATAATGTTTGTCGCGAACTCCTATGTGTTATAAACTATGTTCATATTTGTTATGCAGGGGAATAGATTTATTGACACTCCACTGATTTCTAACAAGCCGTTTCTCTCCACAACATGTGATCGGATCATCCTGTACATGAAAACCTTTCATGTGTTGACGTTTGCTGTTATGATGTTTATCTCTGGGTTGTGATGTGCCACACTAGAACCTGCTTGGTGTTTAATATTTTGCCGTTCATAATGTTTCATTCTGTTTTTTTTTATTTGTATGGCTAAAGCTTTTAGCTGTTGTGACATTTCCTGTTGTGATTCACGCTCCTTTTAAAATTGTTCCGCTGTTAAGATATTTACCTTCATGATGTTTTAGTTAAATTTTCAGTTGTATTCTAAATGATACTCTTTGGTTCTTTCGGTACAGTCACGTAGGTAAAAAATAAAAAATAAAGCTAATCAAATCACGACATTTCGGAGGCAACACAAGCTTCTGTCATCCTTTATTTAACCAGTCACGAAAACGTCAAATCTAGAAGTATTCTCAATTACTTTATGTAACTCATGCAGGTCACCCTTGATTATGATACGAGACTGGTTAAATAAAGGATACGACTATGCTACTGTGTGACGTTTTAACTCGGCATACTAATTTGGCGCAGCCAAATCTGCTTTCTGCTACTCCAGTGGCTTTTCTTTAGGCCAGATGTCCCTTGAACAAGACCCTTCTGGTCCTAACGGTCTCTGCAACTGGTCTTAAATAAAGAAACGTTATTGCACGTGATTACATTTACACACGTTGTATGTCTTTAATTGTAATTGCTAAAGTATATTCTAAGCTCACTGCTTCGTGTCAATCTTCTTCTCTGCTCTTAAAGCGCATGGAGTCTTACTTACACTTGTATTGCAACGTACACAAAGATCGCCCCCATATAGCCATAGTCTTAACAGACTCTCGGGGCGAGGGCCGTTAGTGAGAAGAACCTATGAAGGCCGGCACGGCACACGAGGAGGTGGGTGGCCAGTGCCATGACCAGCCGTCTTTGTCTCCCCAGTGGCGATGTTTACACCACACCAAGTACTCATTGAAGGCTGAACCGACCTCGGGGAGGCCCAGTACCGGTTCAGATAATCGTCGTAGTGCCTACCTTATTACAGACCAATTCAGAACTTATTGGTCACCCACGTTCATCCTACAAAGTCCCATCACAAGGGAGAAACACAAACAAATAGACAATTTTTATTTGGTTTGTTTTGCCCATATTGAAACGGCTGTACGCCATATGGACCTGAAAACTCAATTTCCCTGTACAAGAATACGGGTGTGCCGTATTGGTTGGCAGGTATGGTAGTGCGGTGCGCTAACCGCTGCACCACCGCTCCCCGCAATATTGCTACAGGTCTCCATTGACACACACGCACACTCTAGTCTCTCCGGATCCTCGTGTGGCTATATATGAATAGTTCGCATGAATGAATGACACCGGGGAATTTTGTGGATAAAGCATATTTTACAGTATAACTAACCCCCCCTCCCTCCCCTTTACCAAATGTTGGGAGGCTGGTGGTGGCAAAAAATATCTCACCCTTGTTGCAACTCCGGGGAACCTGTGGAGCCACCGTGGTTTCTCCCAAGACGTTGGAGGGCTCGGGGGCTTAAAGGGCTGAACTGTAAATTCAGCTTTCATCCCACAGTGATCCCATTCAGACCTATTTGTCGGCATTCCAAAACAAACAGGTGCCCGTTCAAGCGGCGTGCTAATGGGGTGTTAACACTCGCGAGAGCGTGCCAGCTCGTGCAGTAGGAGTCATAAAGTTAGAAGAAAGGGCACCAGTGACACACAAAAATATATATTTTTTTTGCAAAAACCCGTAATGTTCTGAGAAATGCCGGTAATTAATTGTGAGCGCTTGAATGTTTGTCATATAACATAATCACGGCTAGAAGCACACGGGCCTAAATAACAAATTACCTTATGGAATGCACAATTATAGCTCGGTAATTAAAACATATTTTTCTCATGACATCAGCCGGGTCAAAATAAAAACTTTGTTTTGGAACTCAAACTAGTTTGTAATCGTATTACTTTTTCACGGTACGTCGTGTCACAAGCAGGAGAGAAATGAAATATTTCCACGTGAAAATGATAAACAGAGGCGATGCAATATCCTTAACAACCGAGCAGTATGTTCCTACTTTTGGCGGTGTCAAAAATGTGCAACGTTTAAAAAAAAATTGACTCGTGTGCACCAATTAAAATAATACCTTCAACATCGCATTTTAAATGGTGCTTATTAGAGACCAGTTGCATAGCTACGTTAAAAATTACTCTGTGCTCCAGTGGCTTTAAAAACCAGGAACTATTAATGGATTGGCATCAAACACAGTTCTGCAATTTCCGCTCATCACTCCGAATCCATAAACTCCACACCTGGATTTGTTAGCTACCCAACATTTGTTAACATTCGCACAGTGGAGCTAACTAATAACCACCCATCATATTTACTGATTCTGGGGACAAAACGAAACACTTCCTTGATTTAAAAAAAATGCAATTCTCGCTCAAATGAAAATTTGCAAATCAAGCTTTTTTGCGCACGTGTGTTTCTAAATTCTGTGTGCGTGATGTTTTACTTCCATTTGAAATACAAAAAATATAACTATAAACATTGTGGCCAAACGCTCACTCGAAGGGCACATTTAATTGTATATTTTTAAACAATTTTAAGTCGCTAATGTGTGTTTTTGTATGTACCCAGCGTTTAAGCTAAGAAGTGGTCTGTTATTTTTCTAGCAAAGCAAAGAGGTGGAAGCAAAATGGTGTCTAAAACCAGCTGTTATTTAACTTTATGTACATAAAGAAGAACGTTTTGCAAAGTGATTTTCTTTAATGGATAGCATCGGGGACAATAGCGCTCTTGTGTGAAAATTACCATTATAAAGCAGAATTAGCTGTAATTGCCTCCAGGCCACAAGCATATGCCGCTTGTATGCCCCCCCCCCAACGCTTACCTTTAAAAGCCATGAAAACAGGTCTGTGATTAATGATGGTAATTACGGGAAGACGTTTAGCGGCAAACCTGTTTCTGATTAATAACCCGCAGCTGTTTGATGTCCGAGGGAGAAAGTCAGGAGTGCTTGGGTCCGCCAAGAAGGGATATGAATGAGCCTCATTAATAAGGGACGGTTAATGTGGCCTGAAAGACGAGGACACTTTGGTGGAATTGTGACATTCCCTGCGCAAGACCCTTCTGTCTGTCGGCTGATCGAGCAACATGCGGCCACGTGACAACACGCTTTCGGCGTTTAGGTTTAAGGATGCCGTGGACATTTGTGTATTCTGTCTTAAATGATAAACGATAACAGCACAATTTTGAGTAACAATGACGGTCAAGCCAAACGTTTTGAGAATGGGATATAGACAGTGCTTAATTTCAGCCAGAGTTGTCCAGAGTCTGGAACCCGTAATATGTTTTTCTGCATCCGGCACACTGCATTCAGTAAATGTGTTTTGTTATGGATGTTGGTACAAGTTACGTGTCTCCTCCAATCTACCAGCAATCCGGACAAAATTCAGATATTAAGCTGTGGATATAGTACTAAGACGTTTAACCACCCACTTGTATTAACAGTTGTGCTATGAAGCAATAACATCACATAATTAAGCATTTATTGAAGCGTATTTAGATAACAGTAACAGCCCCGGAAGATTACATCAAATAATGTAAAGTTGATTTCGTTTAGCCAAGCGAGAACTCAAGCGGCGAAATGTCGTACTCGAATTATAAATGTTGTGGGTTTATTCTCCAACACACCAATGTGCTGAACGAGTAGGTAATTGGCATGTTTTCTTTACGGGTGGTGGTGGGTTTAACGACACATATCGATGCGATCGAACCCAAAACACATCTATTGTGAATATTGGTCGCGAAAGCCTACGTGTTAAACAGGAGAGTCTCAATTGCAAGTGTGAGCTGGGTATATTTACATCACAGAAATACTTCTCCAATAATGTCAACATGCACCTTTATCCACACCAGGGACAACCCTTGTGCATGCAATGCAGAGACTATTCAGCACGTCTCAATCAAACCTTTTTCCACATATATATAAACCATTATGGGAACTAACATTATTTTAAGTCAAAAGCAGATTAAATATGCTGTCTTTTTGTGCACTTGAAAACCCAGGTTTTATCGTGGGCTGCTTGAAGGTCAGTTTTACATAATATATAAATTGTCAATTTATTGGGTGTGTGCTATGCACTAAGAGCCTTCGGTTAATTCCACATTTTCATTTCTCTTAAACCAGTGGGTATCGTGTTTAATATTACCAATTCTGGAATATATCTTAAATCATATTTTAATGGTTACTAGTAATGAACCCGTTGCTTTGCAACATAAAATAAGAGATGTAATTTTCATACTCTCCTCAATTCTGTACTCGGAACACTAAAATAATCTGCCTTTTTACGTAACAAAAAAAACTAAATAATACGTAGTGTGAGGTTTTTGTTATATTCTATAGGTTTTAAATAAAATCTGGTGGAAGAACGGCATTATTAGGATTACAAATTGAAAAGTTAGATCAATTGTAAATTAACCGTGGTCAGTCTTCTGTATTCGTTAATCCCACCTCTTCGGTGTCGCTATGTATTGACTTCCGAACTAATTCTGCCATTTCAAGGCAATGTTTATTTATAACGCAAAAACTTCTGTCTGGCCAGTTACCTAGCTATGTCGGTGGCAATGGCCCGTAGCCACTCACGACAATAGGGTTATTGTTGGGCTGGAGAGGAGCCCAGCCAGCAGCCAGCCAGGAAACTCGAGGAATATATTATTTATTATAGTATGATTTAAATGTTTGGAGTTGGGATAAATTTACAAAAATTACAGTACATTACTGCTAACGTTGGTGTTTAAGGTAATTTAATATATAACCTTACAGTTTAAGATTTAAAAAAAAGTACAAATTATTTTGTGCCATACTGTAGTCTAAGCCACAGCAGAAATTGCTTCCACCTAGTGGCACTACTTAATTAGTTCCGATTTTATTTATATTGCCAAAAAAACGCAACTCCCAGATGTAATTTCCAAATCGCTATTTTACAGGTGTTGCTTATATAAATATATACACACAAACACAACTAAGATTCGCTGTTCTGAGAAGGCACCACCAACACGTTGCATATCTGTCCTTAGCTACCGGGCCAACAGTTGCAAGCACAACAGAGGATTATTTGTCAATGAGCCACATATAACAACGCCACAGCGGTTGGATAAATAGGCACTCACTATCACCCACGATAGTTTACGAGGGGTTTAAAGAGGTTTCTATCAATACCTATATCTAAGTTGACGAATCTGCAATGGCTGTACAATAATAGATCCGTGTAATCTTTGCAGCCGCAAGCTGCCGCTATATTTCCCCGGAATGTTAAACCAAAAAAAAATCGACTCTTGCATCGAATTGGAATTGAATCGTGACAAGTCATCAAGTGGCACTGTAGTTTGATGCCCTTCTGTTTCATCAATGCCCTTTCGTTGGTGGATCACACAGGGATGGAGTCAGCGTGAAACATCACCTGCAGGTGAACGAGGTGCCGCTAGGAGGCAGTACAGCAAGTAGGTTTTCGTTTTTTTCAAACGGGCTGTCGATGGAACAAAACTGAATTATCTTCTTTCACGAGTAGGTTTATCTGGTCTCTCCTATTTCTTCTGTGGGGCGTTGGCCGTCTCATACGGCACACGGCCACATGATTGCCTACTGCTTTGAAACGGCCCACAAA